TTAAAAAGTTCATCTGCGACAAAATTTCCTGTGCACTCTTTAGCATATAAGTCCACATAGAAATCAACAGCTAGTCTCCTCATTTCCAAAGGATCTGAAGTCACATTTCCATCAGGTGTACGTAATGCATGCATATAGTTAGTATGATTACATTTCTTATTCAAATTAAAAAAGAATTTTGTAGGAGCATCCATATCCTGCAAAGAAACAAAATGTGATCTAACAAGAGCTCTTTTAACCTTTTTGTTTAACATATTACTTAGCTCTTGTCTCTTCTGACTAAGATCATCTTGTAGATTTACATCATTTTGATCAATTAACATAATCTGGATTTTTGAAATATCTTTCTCTAATTTTGCCATTTCATATTTAATTTTACAGGAAGTGTGTGCCACAAATTGTTGACAGAAAAGCTTAATCTGAGTTTTCCCTATCTCCCACCACTGAAGAAGATTATTATAATCATTTTTTGCCTCAACCCAACAATTCCAAAACGATTTAAAATTCTCATAAAAATGAACATCTTGAATTAATTTAATATCAAAACACCAATAAAAGAATTGTGGTTTTGTTTCTGATAAAATAACATTCACCAAAAAGCTTAATTCTGTCCCTTCCAATATTTGGTGCATAAATGTTAACAAAGACAAAACTTATATCTTTTATTTTAGCTTTAATTAAAAGAAGCCGCCCTCTTTCTAATTCATTAACAGATAAGATGCTTACATTTAATTCAGCAGAAAACAATATTGCCACCCCTGCACTTAAATTTGTTCCATGACTAAGAACAAACTGACCATCGGACCACAAACCCCAATCTACTTCATTATTTATATCACTGTGTGTTTTTTGTAGAAACATCACAATCTCTTTTAGTTCTATACTTTCTTTTAGTAATAACCATTTATTTTTTTCCCTAATCCCATTTACGTTAAGAGACCCCACTTTTAGGACATCCATAATAAGATAGGATAGGAAAGTAGAAAGAACTAGTAGTGTGAGAAGAAATCAAAAGGAAAGACTGATAGCCATTGTGCACTTATTTTAGTTTACATTTCCCTGCCCGGCGTTTCGCCCTGACCGGTTTTACTCCTTGCCTAATTGCTGTTAAGTATTTTTTTAATCGAAACCTTTTCTGCTGAGTTAATACTTCTAGGTTGCATTCTCATCTTGCTTTCATAACAGAAGACACAAATTTATCTAAATCTGGAAAAAACTTTACAATTTCAACTTTTTTACCCTTTGTCTCATCCAAGAAAGCATTAATCTGCTCAACCGAATACAAATCACTTCCACAATTAGCCACATCAAAGTCAGCACATGAATCATCATCTCTACAACTTTCTATAGTTGTTTCTGACAAATCATCCATTTCTTCACTTTGCCCATCATACGTCTCATTTTCCTGTACTGGATCACCACAAACATCTCCCTTGTTAACAACATCACTACAACTTGGAAGCTCAGCATCATTCACAATATTTTCTGAAACATTTTGCCTTACCTCAGTGATAGTATCTGCCTTTTCAGGTTGTTGCGTAGTACTTTCCGTCACAATCTGCGGCCTATTGAATGGGCCTTCGGATGGGCCTTCCTCTTCAGGATTACGTGCTTTGTGCGGGCGTGTGAACCGTTTGTGTCCAAAATCTCCGCATTCAAAGCACCGCAAAGTCTCTGTACTAGCGTACACCATGTATGAGCCCTCTCCATGAGATACCCGAAAAGACACATCGAGCATTTTAGTGGGAGAGCTCAAAAACATGTAAACTTGTCTTCTGAAAGATAGCACATGTTTAAGTGCAGCATTTTTACAACCCAACGAAATCTTTTACAGCACCGGCAATTTTGCCAAATCTAGTCAGCTCTTTAATGATACTCTCATTACCAACGAACGGGGGTACATTAGAGATGACAATTTTCGTTGCCGGTGCCGACAACGGTGTAATAGGCACGTACGTTTCATTAATCCATATTCCGCTTTCAATCAAGTTTTTCACCTGATTTTCAATTTTCAAAAAAACAACTACTGCCTTATTCATTCTTGAAGCCGAACTAATATTTTCATGACGGACTTTGGCTCCTACAGCAAGGAGAACATCCTCAATAGACGTATTCGCCTCCGGTATACACCTGAAACCATTCCGGAGGGTGAGAGGCGACGCTCCCCCCACGGGGGTAGCCGTCATGTTGCCTCGCACTCACACACCACGCGATATAAGAATAAAACCTACCCTAATAACAAAAAAAGTGTTCAGAAATGTTAAAGAAAAGAAAAAAACCCCGCTCACCCACACTTGTCTCTCACACACGCACTCACTCCCAGCATCCACTCCGATAAAAAGAGAGAGAGAGAGGCATAGCTTGATGGATTGATGGCGTGACGTCAACCCACCGCTACCTTGCCGTGGGGGGGGGGATTAATCTCCACTCCGATAAAAAGAGAGAGAGAGAGAGAGAGAGAGAGACTCGTGAACACACTTGACTTTCTAATACTCACACCAGGAGTTGTTTATCTCCCTTTGCAGACACAGCTGAACATCTGTGATTATCTGAATGCATAGGTCAGTGGCAGCACACCTCTGTGGTTTCAGGCTGGAGCGGAGATTAATGAAAGTGCCAGGGGCACAAAACTAATTTTCAGGTAAACTGTTGATTACATTTTCCTTGAAATGAATATGCAACCTCCAAAAAAAGGTATAAAGCTGTCACTAGGGCATGTTCTCTTTCAAATGGTATATACATACCGTTTAGGTACAATTATGCATGCTTTCGGGAATAATATGTACACTATCTTTCAATATGTATCACATCTAATAGGGCTAATGAATTAATAAAGGTAAGGTGCACCTTTTGAAAGGGTACCACACCAGTGACAGATTTTTGTACCATTTTTTTTTCTCTGAAAGTGTGTATATTGCACAGGTAAACATTTCTACCTTTAATTATCAGTTGTGTCTGTGTTTGTGTTAGTCATATCGTCTCAGTTACTGGGAAAACGGGTCTCAAACATTGATTTAAATGTACATGTGTTTTAAATCAGAATTTTCATGTCATAATTGCTATTCAGAAACCTATATAAAATTGTATCAGATTATTAAATGAATCTGAAGTCCGAGAATAAGGAACACTAGTTTTGCACTGCTGCACCTCTATTTGAATCTTTCACAGCAGCTCATTCATGCCATCCTAAAACCACTTTTATGTAGCGTAAGGTCTGAATCATTCAGGTTCATGAGCACATTCAAACATCAAATATCTTCCTTTGAAATGAAGAATGGAAACCTGTGACACAAGGCAGATATAGGCAGTTATAGGTGTAGCTCCTTAAAAAAATCAGTGTGACTCCAGTGGTTTAACATCAATTTTATTAAGCTACGCGAGTGCTGTTTGAAAAAAGAAAGAAAAAAAAAACATTTACCACTTACAAAATATTTAATCTCTAACACACGTTCAGAGAACATCACAATGCATGCATGTGTTGATGCGAAAGCAGATGTTGTTGTGTGAACATGCATTGAATATGAATATTTTGTAAATAAAGTCATGAATTGTTTTTTGCACAAATAAAACACTCGTGTTGCTTCATAGTATTGAGGTTAAACCATTGGAGTCACATGGATTAGTTTTATGATTTTCTTTGTTCCTTTTTTACTTGGAAATCAATCAATTCAAAAGTCTGAACCTAACCAAAATAGTTTTGATTTGATTGAACTTTTTCCACTATAAACTTACTGTATTTATAAAACACAAATAGCCTTCATTTGAATGTATCTAGATGGAAACCAGCATTCCAGTATTTTTGGAGGAAGTTGAATCTGCACAGCCTTTCCTGCTCTGTGAAACAACTATACACTAAACTTTATTGTTTGCAACTGGACACAACTGATTTACATATCCTGCGATTTTTCACCTGCTGGATGTTGTGTTGACTCAAGCACTGCTGTACTGTATTGCAAAGTCGAAGGTACTGACTCAACTTCACTGACATTTAGCGACTTACACACAGGACGTACATTCACTGACATGTGCAGGACTTTAAGTATTACAGACCATTTGATTAGCAGCTTTCATATTATTTCTGATAACAGAAATGCCTATATTGTGCCTTCATCATTTATTTTAAAAGTGAACCTTCCATAAAGTAAAGTGGCTTGTTTGTTAATAAAGAACTGGTTTGTTAAAACAACTGTTTGCATTTTGCCTTTATTTTTAACTTTGTAGAATGAGCAGAATGTGATCCCAGACTAAAGTTGAATTTAACTTTATGGTTTGTTTTGATTGTAATCTGTTGTTTTCAAAGTAACTCTGCAAGTTGTTACAAATTATTTCCTGACAGTTACTACCAACTCTCCTAATTTAACCTGGTTGAAGTACAGTAGTATCAACTCCTTACACTAGAGTTAAAAATATCTAGAGTTAAAATACATCTTAATAGTGTTAAATTGTCACTCTTTACTCTGGTGCTGAAGAAAAATTAACTCCCTGTGGTGTGGACCAGAGTTGTTTTACAGTGTAAATATAACTGTTCTAGTGTTAAATCAGTAACACTTTTAAAAGTGTACTTTAACTCTGAAAATATTGGGACAATATGTTCACTCACACAGAGTTGGTTTTAACTCAAAGAGTTGAATTAACACTGATGAATTTGTTGTGTAATAGCATAGCCTAATAATCTCTGCCATATAAAGACATATTTTTAAAGCCCCCTCTATTCAATATTGGATAATTAAAAGATTCTGACATTTCAACACAATCAACCAATGCCCTAGAATAAAGAACTTAGTTAAACTCTTAAAAAACCTTCAATGCTTTCAGCATTTCTTAATCTTTCTAAATCCCAGTTCTAGATTGTACTATTTTAGACGATGATTGAAACGTTGTATTGCTAGCAACATCCTGTGTTATTGCTTCCATAAGCTGAATCTGTTAAATGAATAAATGTAATATATAGCAGAAATGAGGCTTTAATTTTGGCGTGACGGGCTTTTAGACGTCATCATTATGCGCCCGGACGAACTAAAAGCATGGGTGCGTGAGGTCAGTGTTTTGCATTTGTCACGTGAAAACATTATTCTTAAATAAGTTTGCGTATTAAACAGGACATCCGATATTCACTTTCGCGTGTACTGTGGAAGTACCTCGTATGTACAATGCAGTCAGTGAAGATCGGACGCTGTGCCTTTCTTTTTTCTAACCTCTTGCAGGTAACGCGCAGAGTGACAACCGCTAGCTCACAGCCTGTGGTGATCCGCATCCCGAGACGCATGCAAGAACATATAGAGAACATCAAACAGATGCAAAGCAAGAAGTTCGACAAGCTGCCAACCGTCAAGCCTGGAAGACTGTTGATCAAGTGCAAAAACCCTCAGCTAAACCAGTCTGTCGGCTATACACTTGGGAAATTTGAACAACCTGTTCAGACATCCAAAGGATGGAAGAGTAACAAAGCGTTAGGGGATTACTTCTCCATAAACAGTATCCAAAGTGCTCCACCATCTGTCCTCAAGCAGAAGGACAAGGGTGATGATGGTGCTTCCGCCCCCCAAAAGAAATTTAATAGCTTTAATATTTGTCCAGAACTGGTCGAGACTTTACACAGTCAGAATATAATTCACCCCACCACAGTGCAGATCCAAACCATTCCCAAAATACTAAAAGGACGCAACATTCTCTGTGCTGCAGAGACGGGAAGCGGAAAAACACTCGCTTACCTCCTTCCCATCATCCACAGGCTGCAAGCGGACAGGCAAGAGGAGCCCTTCACAGACTCTGAGAGAAACATTCGTGCTGTGGTCATCGTGCCATCACGGGAACTAGCAGAACAAGTGACATCTGTAGCTCGATCAATCAGCAAACCATTTGGACTTGTGGTCAAGGTCGCAGGAGGTGGGAGAGGTGTAGGAAACATCAAAGCGGCATTCACTCACGGTCAGCCGGATGTTTTAGTGGCCACTCCTGGCGCCCTACTAAAGGCCCTCTGGAAGCGGTTCATTAACTTGAATGAACTAAACTTCCTAGTCATTGATGAAGCTGACACTATGTTTGATGAAAGCTTTGCAGGCATGCTTGAGAATATTCTTTCACATACCGAGGTGGCATCCAGGCTCTCTGAGACGGTTGGGCTCGTCCGTAAAGCTCAGCTGGTTGTGGTGGGAGCCACATTTCCGGGTGGCGTAGGAGAGGTCCTCAGTAAGGTGACTGACCTGGCCAGCATGGTGACCGTTAAAAGCCGGATGCTACATCATCTCATGCCGCATGTAAAGCAGACGTTTCTCAGGGTCAAAGGTGCAGACAAGATTCTAGAGCTTCAGCAGGCCCTGAAGAAGGCCGAAATGGAGCATAAAGGCGTTTTGGTGTTCTGTAACTCTGCTTCCACTGTGAACTGGCTGGGCTACTCACTGGAGGAAATGGGTGTTCATCATATGAGGCTCCAGGGAGAGATGCCTGCGACTATGAGAGAAGGAATTTTCAGGAACTTTCAAAGAGGGAATGTTGATGTTCTGATATGCACTGACATAGCTTCAAGAGGTTTGGACACACAGAGAGTTGGACTTACCGTCAATTATGACTTCCCTGAGACCCACACAGATTACATCCACCGGGCAGGGCGCGTGGGCAGAGCCGGTGGCTCCGAGGGAGGGGAGGTGCTGAGCTTCGTTACTCACCCGTGGGATGTGGAACTTGTGCAGAGAATAGAGACAGCAGCCAGGAGGAGAACATCTTTACCAGGGATGGAATCAGAAATTCAGAAACCCAGCAATAAAACAGAAAGAGAGATGAAAGAAAAGTGATGTAGAAAAGTGAATAAATTAAGATCTACACTTTAGCCTTACAAAACAATGAAATGTTTATTGTATATTTGTTGTATTAAAACTTTAAAATAAACATTTAAAGAGCAGTTTGTTCTAAAGCTTATGTTCATATTTAAAGGGATAGTTCACCCAAAAATGAACATTCTGTCATCATTTACTCATCCTCATGTTGTTCCAAAACTGTATGACTTTCTTCTGTAGAACACAAAGATATTCTGAAATCTCTCTCTCTCTTTATTATTTTGGATAATAAATCATTGAATTTCATTGTATGGACAAAAACATTTGAAAGCTTCTTCAAAATGTCTGTATATGTGTTCTGTACAAGAAAGAACATCATATAGATTTGGAATTAAAGAGTTCTTTGTATGTTTGTTGTATTGAACCTTTAAAGGACTAAACATTTAGAACATTTTGGCCTAATGCTTCTTTTCACACTTGTATTAGACATCTTATGATCTTAAAGGGCTAGTTCATCCAAAAATGAAAATTCTGTTATCATTTAGGCTGTGTCTGAAATCACATACTCTGTGAGTTGGTTCTTCTTTTGAATAAGTAATTAGTTCATTATAAATGTCCTGTATATTATGAATGTAATCTGAACTCGCATTTGTCATGTTTTTATTGTCATGTGACCTATAGCGCTATAGACCCGTAGCGCTTCACTGCCATTCACAACTCCTCTCCCATGGCCTCATGGGATATTAAAGTGTCCATCAGATGCTCACTTCAGAGTCTTGCAGGAGGTAGCAAGCCATTTGGGTACCATTCGGCCGTTTTATGAATAACATGAATTCGGACATACTACTTATTTCATATAGTATGTGATTTCTGACACAGCTTTGCTCACCCTCATGTCGTTCCAAACCTGTTTGATTTTCTGCCATCTGCTGAACACAAGATATTCTTAATATTATTTTTTGCCTATATAATGAAAATCAGTCAGGTTCAGTGTTATTTCGGACCCCATTGTTTTGTTTGTGGTCTGCAGAAGAAAGAAAGTCATACAGGTTTGGAATTAAATGTTGCTTGGTGTATTTGTTGTATACACAAAGCACTAACATTTAAGAACATGTTGGCCTGAAGTTTCTGTTTACATTTCTGTGTTAGACAGCTTAAACACAAATCCAGCTGACTGAATGTTGTTTTGTTAATTTGAAAATATTTGCCACAAACCTCTCACCGTTATGTGTGGGCTTATAGCCAATGCCATTTTAGGTATTTGACGCCGAACAATAAATCTTACAACAAACAGCCTAATTTAAAGAAGGTGTAAGTGCTGCTAAGACCAAAACACATTTAAATGGCAAAGTTGCAGTTTTCTGTTTTATTGGCTGATGTAATGTTGGTTTATGTGTGTTGTTATTTCATGTGCTGGTAATGGCTATCTTTTGCATGGGAATGAATGTGATAGAGAGGGGCTTAAAGTGAGGCTGTATGCTTCACTACCAACTGTTTATTATTACCGCACAACAGGTGGGTTGCCATGAGGTCAATTTGAACTTTGCAGTGGTGTTATTGAGAAGAGGGTCTTTCAAAACACTGATTAGAAAATACATAAACCGTGAGCTGTGAGCTGCCCTGATGGGCTCATTTTAAAGAAAAAGCAACCTGGTCAAGCAGAACTACTCCCTCATTAAGTACGCTTGGATATTTTCTTTAAGTCCATTTTGTGAGTTCTAGGCTTTATCTAATGCATGAAGGACAAACAAACCATCACACTTACCATGGCCTTGAAGTGTATTTGGACAGTTCCTCTTAATGTTATTGACTTTGTAGAGTACAGCACATTTTTAGCTTTGAAATGCAACAAAGACTTTTGGGTTAAAGTGAGCATTTTACATTTATTTAAAGGTACATTTGGTTCACAAGAAATGCAGACAGACATTTTGTCAGATGAAGTGTTAAAAAATAGATGTTTGGGCTACATGTGGCTCTCCATATGTTTTTTTTTCACAACATACGTATTTGATGTAAAATGTATAGAAAATAAAGCTGATTATTTGTAGCTGATTAATGATCTGAATTGTGTTCCATGGACAGGTAAAAATGCTTTGTTTTTAACACTGAATGCAGCCGTAAATGATAATTAATTTGGCAAACAATCTGACTCAGTTTTAATGACTGGACAAAAGTTATGGAAGTACTAATAAAATTGATGGTCAATGTGTGATATGCGATGCTCTCAGAGTGATTTTTTACCTTCTAATTTAATTGTGATTTGAACAAAAAGCACTGGAGAAAAGTGATGTTTCTTCAAACTGACATTGTCTGAACAAGTTAACTTTGTTATGAATGATTTGTCTGAGCATGATTTAGCATCACCAGATTCTGGATATTTTCCAAGAGTACTCACCTGCGAGTTCTCCAACTGTAAGATAAATCTCTTATCATGGTGCACTGACAGACCTATAGTGCTGACACTATGTGAAATACAGTATTTTTTATAGATACATTCAAATATAAACATCATAGACTTAAAATAATTGTGTCATTTTTCAGGGTCACTTACAGCACTGTGTTGTACTATTATGTATTATGTACTATTATATCACATTATTGTGAGAGCTGCATTTTACTGGAGATGTATTTCACAAGGATTAAAGGCATGAGTGAATAGCTTTGTGATGTTAGCATCTTCACCTGACAGGAAACTGACTTGGAAAATATGCCATCCAGCCCGTTTCTCGTTTCTTCAAAGGGAAGTTCCTAAGCTTTGAGACTCTCTTGACTCGTTCTTGATTCTAAAAAGAATCTGTGTTTATGAGAGCTTCTGTCCTGGTATCTCACAGAGAGGTGTGAGTAATAGACTGGTGAGAGATACACACACACAGAGAGTTTCCATTGGTCTTTTGTTTAGGACAATCTCCGGTATGTCAAACAGTTAACCATAAGCATTAGGATAAAGATAGCAACATCCTTTCTAACCAATAACCCACTCTAACTTACTCTTAAGGGACCAGAAAACTTTAACATACATTTAATTTTTCATTTAATTAGATATTTTTATTATTTTTAATTCTTAAAGGGGGAAACCTTCATTAAGATTTTCTTTTCATAATGGATATATAACCATAAGACTGGACATAATACATGTAAACCAATGTCACTGAGTATATAATTACAGCATACAAGTAAGTACTGAAGTTTATGGCATGTTTAAACTGAGACTTAAAGTGTTTGTTCGAATATTACATAAACAGTATGCAAAAAGGTGTTCAGACAGCACAGTTCCTTCACAAACACAGTCATGCTCTTTTAACGAGATTCTCTCAAACATATTAAAAATATAATTATAGTAGTTATATCATTAAATCAATCTCTAGATAGGTTTTAATTATTTTCAAAAACATTAAATACATTTAACAGTGAACATAAAAAGTAGTAACATTTCAATGACAAACACTATTTAGACTTAAATAGTTATAGGCAAATGCCTCTCATGGATTGAGATATTATATATAGTTTTTACTTCTCAAGGTAACTTCATTTTTACTATCCTTGTTAGTCAAACCTTCTTCGTCTAACCCATGACACCACGCCATGAAGCAGAAACAACAAAAGAAAAGTTTTAAACAGTACTAAAAAGTTTGAAGTCACAGGTTAGTGGTGGAATGTGTCATGGAGAAGTTCTCCATGCGAATACGCACCACTTTCTCCACAGGCGGAGGGGAGTAAAAAAAATGGCACGTGAAGACCTGCTTGCAGGCTTTTCTGAAGTTTTCGGAGAGGAAGGCATAAAGAATAGGGTTGACACAGGAGTTTCCATAGGCCAGGCAGTGAGAGATGATGCGAAACGCAAAAGAAGCATCATTCAGTGGGAACTGGCCGAATTGTACCCACATAGCGATAATGTGGTGGGGCATCCAGCAGATGAGGAACGCAGTGACAACCAGCAACACCGTCTGAGCTGTCTAGAAAACACGGGAAGAGAGAGAAGACAAAGGGTGGTTAATCATACCTCAGATTACCTGATTTTATAACTTTCCTTAAATAATTAACAGAGTGTTTAAACGTGTTACCACTTGTGAAAGTTATTCTGTAAAAAGCGCTGGTCTCTATTAACCCCTTCTCAAGCACGCCCCATTTTGGCTTGGAGACATACTGTAAATGACATACCCAAAATGAAAAGGTTGCTGCTCATGAATCTTTCTGACTAGATACATAACCAACATATATTTACAAAGCTGACACTTGAAAGTTTACTGTCCAAGACTCAGAATTACTCAGACTGTTATGAATATGGAGATATATGAGCTCAAGCATAAAAATACAAATATTAAGAATACATTTTTAAATATATAATTGGTTGAATGATGTGGCTGTGGTAAATGGTTTTAGAAACACAATGAAGCTGAAGCCACAAATGTGCTTATGCTTCATTGCAAATCTGAAGTTATCTCTAAAACTATGCATTTTATGAAACATTTTCTAAGACCATGTCATGTGTGTTTTTATAGAAGGCTAATAAAATAATATATATTGCCCCTTGTAAGCTCCCCTGCATGCTATTGTCTAAAGTCTGGCACAGCAAACTGCCCCATTCATCTGTCTATTGTTCTCACTTGACAAACTTTTCACACCTCTGCTAGGTATGAGACGTAATCCTCGTTATTCTTTTATCATTATTCTTTTGTTTTTATTCAGCCATTATTAGCCTTTATTCTGACATTACATGGCTTACCAATCCACATCGCTTTGAATCCAATATACATTTACACACCTATTATAAAAAGTCATTCTAAATAAAAAACAAAACATTTTCTAGCGACCTTACATGAATTATTTTGACAAAATACATGAAATGAAATATAATGCACCTGTTCAGCCGGTGCATTAGAGCTAACATTAGCAGCAAGCTATATCAGACAATTTATGACAAATTACTATAAATTTTATATCAGTTTTACAGTTTACTCAAAACTCACTTTAAACCACCATTGAGTGTTTGTAATAACCTCTGTCTGTGATCTCATTTGGATTTTGGTCATTCAGTGTTGAAATATGCTATTTATAGCCTTTTAT